TTACATCTGTGCAACCCCACTCTCTTTGAATTATACCCTCAGTGACACCTGTGCAACCGCTTTGCCTTCAGTAGGTTTGCACAGATGTAACTGATTGAAACTTAGGGCATTTTTACACTACAGTGGCAAGACTATGGCAAAGCAGCTGTGATGCTGTAGGCCATAGTGTAGACACTTCCTACACAGATGGAAGGGGTTTTTCCATTGATGTAATTAATCCATCTCTCTGAGATGCGGTAGTGAGGTCAACGGAAGAATTTTTCCAGCAACCTAGCCACCAGGAGTTAGTTTGACCTAACTACAGCCTTAAGGGTGAGACATTTTTCACAGCCCTGAGTGACAGTTAGGTCAATCCACTTTTAAGTGTGGATCAGGCCTTAGGGGAGAACTCTGATGCACAAGATGGAATAAAACCTGTAGTTCACTCTCCCACAGAGAGCAGTACCAGCTCTTCAGAGTTAGCAGAGATTAAAAAAAAAAAAGCAGAAAAAGCTTTTTATTTATTATTAATTATTATTATTATTATTATGCAAAAGGAATAGATCTGTTGAGTAAAATTGTACCATTAATTTTTACAGAGCCATTTTTCAGGGTACACCACCCTTTAGGATATGCTATTATTTTTGTGGTAAACTCTTTATTTTTTAGGTTTACAATCTATCTGATCATTTTAATTCGCATTGGATCGAGAGCTGATAGACACAAGTTCTCAGCCCAGAAGCTGGACGTTCCTTCTAAAGTTTGACAAACTGTTTAGCTACTTATTATTTGTTTAAAAGGGCAACAGAGTGCTGTGAGCTGTACAAAACACAGTGATAGACATGGTCCCATTAGATTAAAACTAGAGTGAAAGAGAGAGAAGTGCAAAATGATACATTAATGTCCAGAGTAGTTGGCACTGCACTTTTTTAAGGTGTGAACCACAATACTTCTAGCTGAGGTGGTAGGCTCAGCTGAAGTGTGTTTTAAAGAATGATTTGAATGAAGGTCAGGATGATTGCCTGTCTGACAAGGTGTGATAGTGAGTCACAGCTGAGAGGGGCAGCATGGCAGAAAGTCCAGAAGTGGGAGAAGCATACAAAATGGAGCAATGCGGTGGTAGGGAATGGCAGAGCATGAGGGGGGAATAGGAAGAAGTGGGGACAGAGGTGCAGACAAGTGTGGAAAGCTGAGGGCCACAAGATTTAACTTGATATAGAAAGTGAGAGAGCGTCAATGCACTGATTCAAAGGGTATGTGTACACAGCAAAAAAAAAACACCTGGGGCTGGCCCATGCCTACCAACTACGGCTTGCGGGGCTTGGGCTGCAGGGCTGTTTCATTGTTGTGTTAACTTCTGGGCACGAGCTGGAGCCATATCTCTGGGTCCCTCCCACTGCACAGGGTCCTAGAACCCAGGGTACAGCCTGAGCCCGGAAGTTTATAGAGTAATGAAACAGCCCCGTAGCCCAAACCCTGTGAGCCTGAGTTGGCTGGCATGGGTCAGCCATGGGTTTTTCTTTGCTGTGTAGACAGGCCCAAAGAATGGAGTCAAAATGAGAGATGACTAAGGCACAGATGAGCTGCAGAGCCATATGTCTCTGTGCAAGGGGGAAAAATAATGAAGTTCCCCTGACCTTTTTTATTTGTGTACCTCAAAATTAAGCACCATCCTGGAGACCTGGAGCAGTAGCCACTGGAATTGGGGGATAATGATATCTGCCATGTGACAGTTATTAACCTGATGTAATGCTAACCCATGTCTCTTAGCTAGGGTCCAGAACTAAAGATCAGTTTGTTCAACATTCCTGTGTGTCATACTGTTATTACCTGGTGTCAAAAGAAACATTAATCTCTGGCAAAATGGGGCAAGTGCTTTCTCCCATGCTGCCCCTCACACTTGGGAGATGTTCCCATAAGCATCCACAAAACTTCCTCATGATCCACCTTCAAACCCCACCTTAAAACTTTATTTTGCTGTGAGGTCCACAAAAAAACTTGACAACAATTAGGCTGCTGGTGTGCTGACACTACAGCCTAGTGTGCTGACAAATATTGTCTCATTGCTTCCTTGGTCTCTCCCATCTGTCTCTATCCACCTGTTGTCTCACATCTTAGGCTTAGGTTGTAAGCTCTTTGGGGGCAGGGACTGTCTTTTTGTATTATTTGTACAACATCTACCGCAATGGTCCATGACTGGGGCTCCTAAGTGCTACAATAATACAAATAATCATCAATAATACATTGAAATCAGGTTTATGATGAATAATTAAGACTTGGTGAACAGATCAGAAAGAACTGATAACCTGCACAGAATCAAGGGGGTTTTGGAAGCTAACATATTTACTGACCCCTGGTTCCTACGTAGATTATTGAGCCTGGGCTGGAGTTGTTTACACACCTTCGGCTACACCACATTAGCCCAGGCATATAAAGCTGGATACCAGAACTGCATCTAAAGGGTTTCACATACAGACCCCAAACCTCCAAGTGAACATTCCAGAGTTGGTTTGCTGCCAACTCCTGTCAGTGCACTCTGAAGGTTTTGCACAGTTAATAGACCTTAAGATAGTAGTGGGTGCAACTATAATAGACCACATGGAAAACATACATGCATTCCCTTGGTGCTGATTTATATTGTTTAAAGGGATGGGGGCGGAACAAGCTGTTAAAAGATGAAGAAATTGAAAGCTCCCCTAACTGCTATATTATCCACCTGACATTCTCTAAATGCCAGTCATTAATTACTAGTGTATTGAAAATCAGAACACTTATCCAATCCAGATTATGTTACATCTGTGAGCCAGAGAAATTTCCACTGTCTTAGTCTTTACCATCTAAATATATATATATATATTTTTTTACAGTTGTTAAAGAAGAGCAGGTCTACAAAAGGCTGTTCTGTTTTATCTCATTAAGGCCTGTTATCCCCACAAAGATATTTTTAGCTTCTCTGTACCTCCCACCATAATACTGGTTAACATTTTAAGGCGTTCACAAAATTAAATTATTAAATTCCAAATTCAGCCTTCAATCTGCAGCTTCCACCAAGGTCAACAAATGAGGGCTGCACATGCACATCTGCTGGCAGAACTTGGCCATAAGCAACAACAGTCTTGTCTTATTCCTGAGCCAGTATTAAGAAAGGATGGAAACTGGTTTACGATTTAGACTGCTCCTGCAATCCTGACGCCTGTATGTAGCCCTCTCCTTCAACTCAGTGGGACATTGGTGTACAGATCCACGGCAGGTCTGCAATGCCATGTATGCTGTGGAGTCACCAACAGGGTCTTCTGCCTGACCTGTATGTTCAAAAATGAAAGTTTTAATCCAAAACTTTATTTTGAGATGGATTTGCTCCTCATTTCTGTACATTTTCATACCTGCTAACATTTTTAAATCCATACATCAAGTTATGTATAGCTTGGGGATAAGGGGAGGACACTTTTTCACTCTGCTGATATTAATTGGATGAGGAGATCATTTTAGAAGGTGCAGTGCAGGAAAACTAGAAGGTGGAATGATAAAATAAAGACTGTCCCTTCTAAACATGGACAGGTGCTATATAGACATTGTTAGAACACTAGCCTTGGTGCCTTTTATCTGAGGATATCAATTAATTTTACCAAGATTACCAAGTTAAGACTCACGACACCTCTGTAAGAAAGGTAATTATCCCTAATTTTACCCCTAATTTTGGATCCCCAAATTGAGAAACATTAGATCTGTTTCAGAGGTTCTAAACACTTTCAGCTTCCATTGATTCACTTGGAGTTGTGGGTGCTCTGTGCCTCTAACAACCAGAGTCTGAAGTTGGGCGTCCGAAAATAGTGGACACATTTGACCTAAGTCAGAGGTGGGCAAACTACGGCCCGCGGGCCACAGCTGGCCCGCAGGACCCTCCTGCCCGGCCCCTGAGCTCCTGCCCAGGGAGGCTAGCACCCAGCCCCGCAGCTCAGCTCGCTCC